AAGATGCATATTTCACATCAAGGAACTGGACATGCACCCTGGCTAGAAGACAAGCAACTTGGTGCACATTTCCAGCTTTGGGGGAGGTGCCCCACTTCAGAGAATCGGGGCTTTCACAGTCACTTCTGTTATATAAGGAAACAAGAAGAGAGGTGCAAAAATGGAATGGGCTATCTGTTGAAGGAGTAAGTTCCCAGTCATTGGAGGTATTCAAGGAGAAGATGATAGATGATTACCTGCCAGGGATGCTGAAAAGGGACCACGGGCAAAGAGTAGAACTACATGACCTCCAAAGTCTCTTTCAATTCTGAGAGTCTATGAAATGCCAAGGTACCATATTGATCTTATGGAAACTAAAACACCAGAATTAATAGCTTCATCATTAGCCTTTGAAATCTCCAAGTTTCACTTTGGGTGAGAATATTTCCAGGCATGCCTTTTTTTTTTTCCCACCTGTTTATGGAACTTTGCAAAAGCTGTGGAATACAGAGCAGTTTGGTTTTATTTTTGTGACTGTTCCTCTGAAGTCATAAAAGATAATCACCTCGTTCCTGGTTTTGAAATAGAAGCACTCAAAGCCTTTGCCCCATGAGAGGAGAGTTTACTGTAAATATTGCTCTCAGGCTCTCTTTCCAAATCAGAGGCTCTTTTCTCACAGCCCTCTGCCCCACAGAGAGAGGATGCCGTGAGGAGAGAACGTGAGGACTGCTGAAATACAGTGGCAGCGTTTCCACTTGCAGTAAGATGAAGCTCATCTTTATCTCCCCATTTACAATTCTCTGTTGGGCGCATTGCTCTGGGCCTTTAGACTCAACTGAAAGTACAGGGATTGCTCTGTGGCTTTGCATAATTTTTAATCCTCCCAAATTGACAATCCCTCTCAAGCAGTAATAAAAAAGGAATTAATTGTTCTCCCTACGTATTGGTTCCTTACGCTATTGCAGTTAGAGCCTTCTACCTGCCCCAAAAAGGTTCTAGGTAATCGTTTTCTGACACATGAAATCTTAACTTTAAATTCACATGACCAAGCCCTTTCCTACTGTGGTGATTTGATGTAGTGGAAATTAATCACTCAGCAACCATTTCTCAAGTATGTACTATGTGCCAGGAACTGAGCTATGCATTAGACCAGACCTGCACAACTTGGCAGTAAGTAGGGGCCAAAATTAAAATAGGCTAAACGTCTTTGGGCCTCAGATAGGTTAGACTAAAGACAGACTGACAATGGTTGGTTGTTGCGGGTCACGTGACAAACAAGAGAATGCGCAGTGGCAACCCTACATTTTTCGCAGGCCGCGTAAAATCCTCGGATGGTTGCAAGCAGCCCACGGGCCAAATGTTGTGGAGGCCTGCATTAGATAGATAGATGTTCAACGTTCAGTGGTTTCAGTCATGTCTGACTCTTTGTGACCCCATTTGGGGTTTTCTTGGCAAAGATATTGCAGTGATTTGCCATTTCCTTCTTCAGCCCATTTTATAGATGAGGACACTGAGGCAAACAGGGTTACGTGACTTGCCCAGAGTCACACAGCTAGGAAGTGTGCGAGACCAGATTAGAACTCAGAAGATGAATCTTCTTATTTCAGGCCTGGCACTCTATCCACTGTGCCACTAGTTTGCCTCTGTATCTGGCACATAGTAGGTGCTTAATACATGCTTATTCCCTTCCTTAACCCCTTTCCCTTCAACTTGTAGTTCTAGAACAGGGTTCTAAACTGTGTGTGTATGTGTGTGTGTGTGTGTGTGTGTGTGTGTGCCACCTAGCTGCCCAGACAGTTAGTTAAAAGCATCTGTTTAATATTTACTTCATGGCAGGCACTGTACTAAGCAAGCAAAAGCTAATACAATAAATGTGTATAGTTCCTACCCTCACGGAGTTTATTTTCTAATGAAGGTAAGACAACACATAAAAGGGAACTAGAAGGGGGAAGGGTGATGATTAGAGTTTCAATGCAACAGCGAGTTTGCAGATAAGAAGATGGAAAAGTCCAAAGAGTAAACGAAGAGTGAAGTGAGCATGGGCTGGGTTTCAAATCAGTTTTTTTTTTTTAAGGGAGTTGGACTATTTATTTAATTTTAAAATTATTTATTTAATTTTTAAAATTTATTAAGCACCAACTATGCACAACAAAGTCTCTTTAGTATCTATAGTCTTTCAGCAATGTTTTATGACTGCAAGTTATGAAATCCTATGTTTTTATGAAGAGTTAAAGTTGGAGATTGCCCAAAGGGCAATGGAGAGGCAAATAATGGGTATGAGCAGATTGTGACACATTCAATCACTCAGGAGAAGTTATATAAAGGATGGAATCAAATATGTATTATATTTATATATCTAGAAAAAGGATAGCTATGTAGAGAGATGAAGGGATAACCAATGGATAGCTCCATTGATACACATGAAATGTCAAGTGGGACCTTAAGGTAGATCCCACCCCCTATCCCCCACCACTATCATAATGTATTTGTTGGGTAACATGGATGACAGTCCTACAAAATGGGGAGAAGGGAGGGGTATCTACATCATTAGATATCTATATCATTAGATCAATGATATCTACATCATTAGAAAGAATAGCCACATTGATGAGATCACTTATTCATTAGAATATGAAAGTATGTGTTGGACACTGGGATTAAAAAGACAAAAAAAAAAATTCCTGCCCTCAAGTTAATTGATTAAGTACCTACCATGTGCCAGGTACTGTGCTAAGCTTTGGTGATGCAAAAAAAGTTCATAGGTGATCCATATGTGAAGCAGACATTGCAGTTTATTGAGTAAGGGAGTAACATGGTAAGGCCTGTGCTTAAGAAATATCACTTTGAAAGCTGTATGGTGGGTGAATTGGAGTGGAGAGAGATTTGAATCAGGGAGTCTAGTTAGGGGGCTGTTGTCATAAGGGGGAAGGGAATAAGCATTTATTCGGCACCTGCTATGTGCCAGGTACTGTGTAAGCACATAGTAGGTATTTAATATAAATTTATTGATTGACTATTGACTGTGCTAAACCCAGTTGAGGAAACTGAGGCAGACAAAGGTTAGATGCTTTACCCAGGGTCACGCACCTAGTAAGGGAGGCTGAATTTGAATTCAGATCTTCCTGACTCTGGGCCCAATGCTCTATCTACTGTACCATGTAGCTCCCTGATAGTTTTAACCAGAGGTGATGAGGGCCTAAACAAAAGTGGTGGCTGTCACAAGTAATGAGAAGACGATGGGTGCAAGAGATGTTGTGGAAGCAGAGATGGCAAGATTTATCAAATGAGGAACTGAGGAGGTGGTACCCTCAACAAAAGCAGGAATATTTAAATAATAGTTTATTCAAAAGTTTTGAAAAATAATTTGAAAGGGGGGCTGGTTTGGACAAAAGTTTGGGTTATCTGTGGGACATCTGGTTTGAAATGACCAATGGTCCAAACTCATACCTGAAGCCATACCTGTGACAGCCCCAGCTTCTGACTGAATACTTCTAGTGATGGACAACCAGCTACTTCCTGAAGCAGCGCATTTCAATTTTGGCTTCTCTAACCCTTAGGAACTTTTTCTTGTCCTCAAGCAGAAATCTTCCTCCAACTTCTACCCAGTATTCCTAACTCTGCCCACCAGGGCCAAGCAGAATCAGCCTATCCCCTTTTCTTCGTGCCATCCTTTCAAATGCTGTAAGAGCTGCCTCCTAAGCCTTCTCTTCTCCAAGCTATACATCCTCAGTCCCTTTAAATGATCTTCGGTATCAGATGATATAGGAGAAGGATTCTTAACCTGGGGCCTGGGGACTTCTTATCATTTTTTAATATTTTGATAACTATTTCAAAATAAATTTCCTTCGTAATCCTATATATTTTATTTTGCATTTAAAAACATGATTCTGAGAAGGGGTGTAAAGGCTTCGCCAGACTGCCAAAAGATCCCTGGTAGCTCTTCACTGTTCTGGTTGTCCTATAGATATTCTCCACCTTACTCATGTGCTTCCTAAAATGTGGCACCCAGGACTGAGCTGTTCACTCTCTAGTCCTTGAAATTCTCCCTCTTAATGCAGCCTATTAGTGCATGAATTTATTTAGCTCCCATGTCTCACTGATTACTTGTATGAATCTCTTTCTCTATAGTAGTCTTTTTTTTGTCTGATCCTGTGATATTTTGGAAGAAACTCTTCAGTAAGGAAACTATATCCACCAACACAAATCAACAATTACAATTATCCCTTACATATTGTGACTTTCCCTATTGCGGTTTCACTATATCCCGCGTTGGCATAAGAAGTTAAATGGGAATTTTTTGGGGAGTTTTGCAGAAGCCAGCAGATGACACAAAGTTTAGAAATTCAGAAATGTATAAAATATATAGTATTGTATAATATGTATTAATAATATATAATACAAATTAATAATATAATATATAATGTATTTTACCTTTTAATACCATAATAATCGAGACTTCTTTTCTGGTAGGGAAGGCTAAAAATTTTATGCAGATTTTTCAGATTGTGGGGGTGCCATGCCCCTCACCCACGCCATGTAGAAGGGATAAGTGTATATAGTTTTAGAGTTACCTGAGGGTAAGAGGTTAAGTGATTTGCCTAGGGTGTCATAACATGTATTACTTGCAGAATTTGAACTCATGTTTTCCTGACTCTGAGGCAGGCTCTCCACTGTGTCAAGGTGCCTTTTTTTCTATCATTTCCTATACTGTAAATGCCATACCTATTATAGGGCAATTGGTAGCTGGAGCTTCTGTAGATTTCTCAGTCAAGTTCTATGAGGGGCATAAAGTTTCTCAACACTTTTTTTGGGGGGGTCAGGGCTTGTGATTTTATTCATGTAGGGAACTCTCAGTGTGTAAACTTCCTCTACTGATGCAAAGAGGTCAACTTTTCTACAACTTACATTCTTGAGAATTGCCTGGAGTCCAAAGAGGTTAAATGATATGTATGATAAAATGACCATATCTGAACATTGTAATATAAATTATGCTAACATTTCTTTGTGTTCATTCTTGTCAGAGATACGTGTCATGAACTCCTGGGACACGTCCCCCTACTTGCTGATCCTAAGTTCGCTCAGTTCTCACAAGAAATAGGCCTGGCCTCCCTGGGAGCCTCTGATGAAGATGTTCAGAAGCTTGCCACGGTGAGTCCTTCTGTGTTTTCATGTCAGACTTTGAAAAAAGATCTTCCTGTTCATCCGAGGATACTAAAGGAAAAAAAAAAGATTTTTACAGTTATTAAAGGTGAAAGTAAAACTACATTTTGAAGATGAGTAGGTAGCATTGAGAGGCTAGATAGATGATGCCATGTTACATTCTGGGACGTTAGCTCTTCCAGGAAGAGAGATCACATTTCAGGGAGGTGACATTTATATCTTCAAATAACAATAAATATTTCTTGAGATAATTGTTTCCTTACCTGTTTTTAATGTTCAATATTAGTTTATATGCTTAATGTTTTATTTTCTTGGCTTATAACATAGTTTAGATACATTTATACTTAATATTCATTTGACCTGTTCTGTTCACCCTCCAAATGAATTGATCACCTTACAGACTTTGCTATTTTGAGCATAATTTACATTACAATGTTCAGATATGGCCATTTTATCATACTTTTGCTTCAGTGTTTACTTTTTTTGGGGGTCAGGACTTGTGATTTTATTCATGTAGGGAACTCCCAGTATGTAAACTTCATCTACTGATGCAAATTGGTCGACTTTTCTGCAACTTACATTCTTGAGAATTGTCTGGAGTCCAAAGAGGTTAAATGATGTGTTCATAATCAATTAATCAATAAACATTTGTTAAATGCCTACTATGTGCCAGGCACTGTGTAAAGTGCTGGAGATACAAAAAGAGGTAAAAAAAACTAGTTTCTATCCTCAGTGAGCTCAGAATCTAATGGGAAAACCAACATATAAATGAATATATACAAAGCAAGCTATATACGGAATAAACAGGAAATAATTAAGAGAAGGAAGGCAATAGAGTTAAGAAGGGTTGGGAATAGTTACACAGCTATTATGTGTCAAAGGTATGATTTGAACCTGTGCTTTCTTGCTCTAAGACCAGTCCTCTATGGCGCATTGCCTTTTTTTTTTCTTCTAGTATTTATAGAGCTTCCAATATTGGATGTTGGGATTGAAGGTTGGGAGGTCATGTAGCAAGCTAAGAGGTATAATCAGAAAACTTGGGTTTTAATTCTACCTCTGATGTCTGCTACTTTTGTGATCTTGGGCAAGTTATTTAGTCACTCTGGGCCTTAGTTTTCTCATTTGTACATAGCGCGTGTGACACCCCATGTTTTAACACATGGTGAACCAGGTTCATGGTCTTTTGCTGGCCCGTACCTGCTCAACATGTTAGCTACCTCATGAAGTCCCATTAATAGGTTTTCTTTTTCTCTAGCAAGACAGAGGACAAAATTAGTTCAAAGTGAAGGCATTGCATGACATAGCATGGTAAGAAGATTTACAATAGCACATTCCTCCAATAGACATATGGTGCACCGTATCACATGTGTATACCATCAATGGAGAGAGTGAGCGGGCATAGCTAGGAATTACACGTGATGAGGCATCAGGGGCCTACACATGAGGAATACACATGAAGGGACAACTTATATCTTCCACACAGCAGGATGGTGTCTTATAGTGATGTTATCACACTGCTTTCAGTAGGCCTGCTCCTTACCAAGCATGGCATCTCCACTGGGTACATTGTTCTGTTGAGCTTTCTGGGCCTGCTCCTTGTTGGGCAGAATGGTGTTTCTACCTGGCCTGCTTCTCATTTGGTCACAGTGGTATTGTTCCGGGCCTTGTATTTTACTGGGTGCTGGGAATTATTGACTTGCTGGGGCTTTGGTAGGCTAGAGTATGGTGGCCTGAATCTGCCCAGATAAAAGCACATTCATAATTCTTTAGTCATACTCACCATGAACAACTAACACAGGCTAAGAATAGGTCTGTCCTTTTCAGTACCTGTATCAGAATCAGAGATCAAAGCTGTTTATTATGGATATGTTTATTATCACCTCACTGTGATTAGTCACCCACAGGACTCCAAGATCATTTCTGGTTTAGGTTGTTGTTGTTCAGCCTTTTTCAGTTGTGTTCAACTCTTAGTGACCCCTTTGGGGGTTTTCTTGGAAAAGATACAGGAGTAGTTTGCCATTTCCTTCTCCAGCTCATTTTACGGATGAGGAAGCTGAGGCAAACAGGGTTAAGTGATTTGCCCAGGGTCACACAGCTAATACAAATGTCTGAGGCCAGATTTGAATGTAGGATAATGAGTCTTCCTAACTCCAGGCCCAAAAGTCTATCTGCTGTACCACCTACCTTTCCTAGTGACCCCAAGATCATCTCTGGTTTAAGTATGAGCTTGAACTAAACGTAGCTCAGGGAAGCAAGGTCAATGTTCTCTATCTACCTTGTCCTCATTCTTGTCTTTATTATGCATATCTGCTCCCCCATTAGCTTATGACCTCCTTGAGGTCACAGACTATTTTTTACCTTTCTTTGTAACCCCCAGCACTTAGCCTCGTGCCTGGCACATAGTTTAATAAATGCTTATTGATTGAATATCTATCAGAAAGCAAAGTCTAATTGCTTTGGAGCTATACTTTGACTAGAGAAAGACCTCATTCTCCCTACATGTCAAATGAAAGAGTTAGACCACAAATTCTCTGTGGTCACTCCTAGCTCAAGACCAATGGCCCTTTGAAAGTTGTTCCAAGCAGGGGGAATGGTAATGAGCAAGCTCTATAAACAACTTAGGGAGGAACAAGGGTGAGAAACAGTGATAGGGCCAACTGGGTTGGAACTTGGTGACCATGATAGATAGTAGTAAGAAATAAGAGCAAGATTTAGACTTGTAGTGTGTATACTAAAAAAAATTGTCTGTTCTTAACTGGTGAAATTTGTATTGGGTCAACTAAAATTCCTTTTCCTTATTTACCCGGTATTCAATGATTCCTCCTGCCCCCATTTCAATTCCTAGTTTTCATTAACTTTAACATTTCAACTACCTTCAATTTTAAACTACCTGGTTTACTAGTCCTTCTTGCTTTGAAAATTTTTTTTTGCAGACCAAAAAAAGCTCAGAAAGCTCTCAAGTGATATTAGGAGCATAGAGGAGTAGTGACATGTTTCCTATTAACTACCACTATAAGGAGTTAGGAAGACTTTTCCTGAGATGACATCAGAGCTGCTTTTGACTTCTAGCACAACATCCTGTCTCTCAGTTAAAGAACAAAGTGAACAGAATCACGCCAGGAAAATCTCTGAGAGAGAAAATGTGCTAAGACTCTAGCTAGGCAGCTTCAAAGTAAATATGGAAACAAATGAGCTGATGGGTAACATGCATATTAATGAGCCCGAAGCAACATGCCAGAGCAATAAAACCATTAAGATGACCCATTTCCAAACACAGAGAGATTAACAACTAAAGCATTGCTGGGAGGGGCTGAAAATGCCTATGGAGGGAAAAGAAATGGACCTTTTAGGAATTCATACCAGAAATGAAGACATCATTAATGGACTTCCTGAACTTTGTTTCCATTAAGTAATGCGCCAGAGGAAGAAATAAATAACATAGACCCAAGAAGAAAACTGATAGAATAAAAAACCTAGAAAGTACTGATTATGTAGAATGATGAGGCAGGTGATATTACTCTTTGCACCAGGTGAGATTTATAGTATTAATGATGATATTTATGCAAAGCCTGTTTTTCCTTCTTGAGTAAATTTAAGTATTTAGGCAGAAAGGAGTTAAGCAACCCCAGTGAAGGCAGACATTTCATAACTACTTTAGATGTGCTGTCAACAAATCTGTCCAAGGAAAGAAAGAAGTAATTGCTCCAAGGGACTGAGTGACACCAGAAGACTTTCATTGTTTTGTCCAATGTTCCACTTGAACTTCTGGATCTTTCTCCCACACTACCACCCTATTGCCAGTAGCTATTATAGCTCTTTGCCATATTTCTGCATGATATTTATTTTGACATTTTAATAACGCTTTGGTTGGGGAATGAAGAAATTTCTTCTGTTTTATTTGGATACTGGTTTCCATGCCCAGAAAACTATTTAAATGAAACACTTTTGTATTTGGGAAAATTGATGATGATGTCTTGACTCATTGTTATAAATGTAAATAATTTGCCCTCCAGTGCATAATGAATAAGATTCTGATTGTGGCTGTTCTGCTCTTTCCATACTAATCGTCAGCTGTCTGGGTCTATGTGTTAGTAATATACAAAATTAGTCACCAAACCAAGGGTAAGGGTAGGCTAGAGATCGCTATAGGGAAAAGCATGTTTGTTTAGCTTTCTTCCAAGGACAGATCAAATGTTTCCTTTTTCACACTCTCCTTTTTGACTTCTCTTATTTTATATTATCTTGTCTGAACATCATATTTGCTTTTTCATGTTCATCTTGATTCTCTCCTCATTCTCCATTACAACGTGAGCTCTGGAGGGAGGTGAGTGTTTTGTCTTTGTTTTTGTATCTCCAGTGACTAAAAGTGTCCCACAAAGAGAATGTAGGACTTACTATGTACATAGTAGTAAATCTATGACATTGTCATAGTAGATTTATTCAACTGAAGAGAGACGCCATTTTTCCGCTGGAGAGCTCGGTTCTAACTTGGTTGAGGGTTCTTGGTGGCTTACTTTCTAGTGAATTCTTGATGAATATTTTTCATGAGATAGAATGACTCAAGCAACTCAGCATAGATGGGGATTTTGTGGTGGGAAGCAGGAGATTGAGTCCATGATGCATTGCCTGTTACAGCATGTTTTTTCATGATGGTCAGTTTCCCAAATGCATACTAAAATTGACATCTTTGCATTGTGGGAACCATGTTTGTCGAGTTCATTATCTAGTAGCTCTTGATGAGTTATGCTGTTATGCTCAGTGGCACTCTACTATTTGTATTGTTCATTGTCGCAGGCAGGGATACGTGAATAGAGATTTGCTGATTAGATGAATTTAGTAACTTACTCCTGGAAATATGCTGATTTCCCCCCATATTTAAGTAAATTTAAGGGGGCTGCTTTCCTAAACCATGTAACTATCTTGTGATGCAGATGGCATCAATTCAGTTCATTCATTTCTCCCCTCATAAAGGCATTTGAAACAGACAA